GCCCTGTACACATACTGTATGCACACACACACACACACACATTTACTTTTTTACTTCAAAATTTCATTACACTTAATTCAGTGTCTCTTGCTGTTTCTTTGTGAAATTAACTAGCAAGCTCTGAGTGAAAATTGAGTTTCAGATATTCTGAGTGACTTTTTTTCAGTCACCAACAAAATGAGAAACTAAAGCTCTAACATAACTATGTATGTCTTTTTTCACTCTCAATATGTGAATAAATGTCTTTAATTAGTAATGTAATTTAATTATATAATTTGTGCATTTATTATTATTTTAATTATTGACCCCCCCCCCCCTCCCCTTTCTGGACTATTGTTCATATATGAATTAATAATTAAAATGTAATATATAAATATATGTAATTATAAATATGAATTTATAATTTGTTATTTGTTATTTTTGCAACCAGTACTAGGCTACAACTAATAATACAAAAATGTCATATTCTTATGTTTCTATACCTTGTTTATTAATATTAATATTAATTCATGCTTTTCTCTCTCAGTCCTTTAAAAGAACGTTTCAAAATCAATGTGGGTCGCTATGTCTTACTATTGAAGAATTGCATGCATTTCTAGAGGATTTTCAGGGGTCTATTTCAGAGAAACTGGCGCCCTCTAGTGGGCCAAAGTCTTCAAAGCTTCACATTTTTTAAGCATGACCCTGTAGTGGCTGGAGATTTAGAACTAATATTTAGCCAAAATCAACTAAGTGGAAAATCAGGAAAGTGGTTTTAAAATATTTTATACTAACTTCTAACATTAAAGGACTTTCACTTTTCAAAAAACTTCTGCTGATAATTTACTCATCCCCATGTCATGCAAGATGTCCATGTCGTTCTTTCTTCAGTCGAAAAGAAATTAAGGTTTTTGATGAAAACATTCCAGGATTTTCTCCATATAATGCACTTCAATGGGAACCAAACGGTTCAAGGTCCAAAAGACTGGTCCAAGGTCCAAGACGGTTTCAGTGCAAACTGTTCAAAGGGCTTTAAACGATTCCAGATGATGAATAAGGGTCTTATCTAGCGAAACGATCGCTCATTAAAAAAAAAAAAACGAAGTTTAAGTTTTATAAGCTCAAATGGTCGCCTTGCTCTGTAGTGTGATGCACGTTCGTGAGTCAGCTTTTCGAACTCGTTCATCAAAATGAACAAATCTTTTTCTGAGTCAATAGGCTTTATGCGGAACGTCACGTGACCAAACCGGAAAACAGGTCTCATCACATCGGCTTGTCAGAGAAAGTGTTAACGGCCGTAAGAACTGACTACGATATCTATGGATTTTTAAGGTAATCAGCTAACCTACCTAGTTCACTTTGTTATTGGCGTTTTATTCCATTTAAATATCTAAACGTTACTGTGAAGAAGAAAAAATGTAAAACGTTTAAATATCAATCTGCATATGTGAGGGATATTGGTTATGCTAATCTTTGCTCGCTCCTTTTAAGTTATCTTGAGTAAAACCGCAAAAAATTTCATGAAGCACATACAAAAGACCTGGACCGGAAGCGATGCGACCTGTTCAACAGAATGCGGAAGAAAGTTGTGTATAGAGCCTATTCGTCGTTTATGACAAGCATAGATATGTATATAAAGGCTAGATGTGTTACGGCGGAGTTTCCATCGTCATCACCGGCGGCCATCTGGTCACAAATACTCTTATCTCGTTGAAATCTTGACGGATTTACAAACGGTTTGGTTTCTTACAAATGTTATTAACGTGGCTATAATTATCTGGATGATTATTTATTTATACACTTTTTATTCATAAGTATGCTGTGTCATAACTACATCTCTGACGTTTATAACAAAACAAACCGTTTGAAAATCGGTAGAAAATTGAGCAAGTTATGGTCATTTAAATAGTACATGTACCATTAACACATGTTACGAGTGAGCGAGCTGCCTGTGACAAGATGGCCGCCAGGTGCAGACGTCGACCTCCATTGGCCAGCAGCGTGGACGACATATCTAGCCTTTATATAGATATCTATGATGACAAGGGGGTAATCCATCGACCGGAAGTTTAAGTCACGCGGGAGCTGCCATCTTGCAGCAGAACTTCACTTGCGTTAGCATTTCCATTGACTCCCATTCATTTTGGCGTCACTTTGACAGCGAACAACTTTACATCTGATGCGTTTGAAGACTCTATATATTTGTAAGAATATATTTTCTATGACCTCAAACTCCAATTTACAACTTGTACAATACAAAACCATTCACAGGATTCACTACACCCAAAGCAAACTATTCATAATGGGAATAACCGACACAGACATCTGCCCTCACTGCACTTTGGGGTGTCCCGATACATATTTATATGCCACTTGGTCCTGTCAACCTGTCAATTCCCTATGGACATCAGTCACAAAGACACTCTCTACCATTTTGGACTGTAGTAGAGTCCCTCTCTCCCCCACACTTTGTCTTCTGGTAGACACCACTTCTATTCCCATTCCACAGAAATTTAAAAATCCATTACTTGTCTCCCTAACCATTGCTAAGAAAATAGTCTTTCAAAACTGGAAATCTAGAGAGTCTTGCAATATAAATCACTGGATTAACCTAATCTCAGATTACATCCTTACAGAAGAGCTCACAGCTCAAAAACAAAAAAACATCAGCCTTAAAAGACACTTGGACCCCCTTCATTACCTTTCTTCAAACATTGACACTCAACATCTGAACCCCCCCTTTTCCTCAGATCATCACGCTGATACATACAACCCCCTTCTCCCTACCTCTCTCCTTTTACTCTCTCTCTCTCTCTCTGTTATCTCGCACTCATACTCGCACACACACTTACTCACACTATTCACCACCTATCCTTTCAGTAGATTTTCCCAACCGACTTGGTAAAACTGTCTTTTTTTTTTGTCCTGTTCGGTAGCGTCTACCTATATCGTCTGTATATGTCCGTCCTCCTCCCTGCCAACCTACATCCAGTCTAATTATGTCATTCAAAGCATTATGTGTTGATGTGGGATTATCTGAAGTAATCACTGTTTGTACTGAGTACATAATATGTAATAAAAAAATAAAAATTTAAAAAAAATTTAAAAAAAGAAGACTCTATTTGTCCATTATTTATTTCTAAAGAAACACGACAATGTATAAAATGCTCCATTACCTTGTAGCTTATGTTATGGCCCCGTAGAAGCAGTTTTTTGTAAAAGTAGGCTAACGATTGCATCATAACCAAGCGACTCTCTGTCGTACAGTAGAGAGATTACCGTATGGACAGGATGAGAAGCTTGCGGGCAATCGGGGTAACATGGTGGCAAAATGACAAAATAATTAATCCGAATAGCAAAAGTTTCTCCTGCTCCTAGCTCATGGACAGCTCCTACTCACACTCTCTGCCTCTGCAAGTTTCGGAAGGCAATGATTCAGATTTCTCATGCCACAGCCAATAGGAGACAGACGGGTTTGCCAGACATCTACGTTGTCAAGCTCTGTTTGAGTCTGCGCGTCAGGGACGGAAGTGCTAAAAAAAAAAAAATCGCCAAAAACGGGCTTCACTTGTCTCAATGGAGTTCCAATGAGATGGCTCTGTCCACTTCTTATACTGTCTAAGGTTTATGAACCAAATGACTTTGAAAAAAGATTTGTTCATTTTGATGAACGAGTTCGAACAGGAGAGTCACAACAAACGTGCGTCACAGAACAGAGCAAGGTGAGCATTTGAGCTTATTAAACTTAAACTTTGTTATTTATTTATTAAATGAGCGATTGTTTCGCCTGATAAAACCCTTATTCATAGTCTGGAAATGTTTAAAGCCCTTTGAACAGTTTGCACTGAAACTGTCTTTTGGACCTTGAACCGTTTGGTTTCCATTGAAGTCCATTATATGGAGAAAAATCCTGGAATGTTTTCATCAAAAACCTTAATTTCTTTTCGACTGAAGAAAGAAAGACATGGACATCTTGGATGACATGGGGGTGGGTAAATTATCAGCAAAAGTTTTTTGAAAAGTGATCTACTCCTTTAAGATCAGAGGAACCTACACTTATCTTCTAAAAAACAACTGTCCACTCTAATGTATCATGTATTATCATGTATCAAAATTCTACCTGAGCCTGGCTTCTCCCCTACAGTCTATGTTTCTCCCAAGTTTTTGCCACTTTACTTTGGCTCACTTAGCTAGGAAACGTAATATTCAGCAGTATTTGACTGTACTGATATTATTGGATGAGAACTGAATTGAATCAACACTGAACTGACTTCAGCTGAATAATGACACTATTGTCTTTTTTTAGAATTGAAAATCTGAGAATTGTAAAGCTGCTTTGATACTATTTGCAATCTATAACGCTCTAAATAAAAATAAGACTTGACTTGATTACACTTATTATTGGGAATCTAAAACTTCAAAATATGAGTACTTGACATAAGTTTAAGTGAAAGCTTAAGGCAATTTTTTGAATATATATTAGGGCTGTGCAAAAATTAATTGCGATTAATCGCATCCAAAATAAAAGTCTGTGTTTACATAATATATTTGTGTGTGCTGTATATAATTATTTTGTATATATAAATACACACACATGCATGTATATATTTAAGAAAATGTGTTATTCATATATAAAATATTTATATTTATATAATATAGATTATGTATTTATAAATGTATACAGAATTTAAGCGCAAATAATTCTTAAATATATACATGCATGCATAGGTATTTATATATACAAAATAATTATATACAGCGCACACAAATATATTATGTAAACACAGACTTTTATTTTGGATGCGATTAATCGCAATTAACTTTTGCACAGCCCTAATATATATATATATTTTTTTTTAATTAACAGACCCAAATAAAAACTAAATAGATTATCTTGTTCATCTTCTTTGCAATGTTAAAATAACATACCTGTCATGTTCTTCACAACACTGCAATCTCATTGGCTGATCCGTGACAGATCTGTCCAATCACATCATTGCCACACCCACCTCAGCCTCTATAAAAGTGTAGTTGGCTAGTATAGTTTTACACACAGCAGCTGAATGAGAACTGGACGGGCTGAGACACAAAAACTACTGAGGAATCTAGAACAAATATAGGTATGTTGTTTACAGAGTTTATTTAGAACTTATGCTCTAAAAGATTTTTTATAATAGATTTTATTATATGATTTGCAATTTATATTACAAAGAAACTCAACATGCTACTTTATAGACTTTCTCTGTTCTGAAAATATGAAAACCTGAAAAAATCTGCATTAATCTGACAATGAAAACCTTTATAGTTATATTTTATAGTTATATAGTAGGCCTATAGTAATTATAATAGATTTTGCAATGCAATGCAATTTTTTTTTTTTTTTGCTGCAGAGACAATCTCAGATTATATGGTCACTTTTCACGAGAGATTTGGAACAGTAAAATGTGGACAAATGAAATGTCATAAATGCTGCATTGTTTCTTGTGTTGACTTATAACAATTATATTGACAACAATAAAATGTACGCCTGCGAATGCAAGATAAAGACTGAACGTTTTAAATGCATTCAATATATTTCTACAACAAAACAAAATGCAATTCTCGTTTCAGTGGAGTTTTTAAATTAAGAAAATCGGCAGTTATCATAGTTTCCATGACAAATTTTTTTGTGAATCTTGACCACATTTCATAATTGTTGCTGAATACACTTCTATACATTTCTATTTCTCAGATTTCAGTCTTCAAAACTTTGACAATGGGAAATGGTGAATCTGGTGAAGTTAGGGAACGCAGAAGAGCTAACAATGCTGAGCAGCAACGCACCAGAGCTGAAAATGAAAAATCGAGTTTGGAGGCACAACTTCAAAGACTAAAACAAGAAAGTGAATTAGAACGATTGAGAGAGGAGAAAAGAATAGCAGAGGAGCGCAACAAAAGTGAAGCAGAAAGACGGGCACTCCAGGAACAATATGATAGAATAGAAAATGAGAGAAACATGGAGAGATTGAAAGAAGAAGAGAAGAAGAGAATCGACAAGGATAACCGATGTAAAGAAGAAGAAGAAAGGAAAAGAATTCACATAGAGAAGCTAAATGCACAAAAAGATGAAAGTAAAAAGATCTGAAGGCTATGGGTTTATTACAGTTATTCATACTACCAATACTTGCAGTTGCTTGCACACAACACACCTACAGTAGCCTACACCACAATTGGCCAAATAGTTAATTTTCTGGCCCTATAACCACATTTTGTTAAATAAATACAAACTCCACATTTCAAAATGCTAAACACCTTTTTTCTATGCTAACTCTATCAACTCAATTGTATCATTCTGTCAAAACTCTACCACTGGTTTTCTATCCAGCTTGAACATATATTAAATCATTGCAGAACAACTGTCAAAATAATAACAATTGATGGAATCATGAAAAATTCATTATTTGTCATTTTTAAGTTCTACCTGTAGACATTATGAAATCCATTGTTTTTTATAATTCAGTTTCCTTTTACTGTAAACCATTCTATATTTTTGGTTGAGTGTTGAATGTGTTCAATCTAAAAGTAAATGAGTAATTACTTTATAAAGTGTGCAGTAAAAAAAAAAGAAAGAAAAAAGAAGGGCAGCCACTGTTCAAATGGGTCTCGTATGCAGAACTCCCCGAGTTTACTGAAATGAAAACATGAAATTGCTGCCATTTGGTTACTATGGACCAATATTATTAATATATTTTTTTCAGTCCTTTTCAGCTGATGCAGAAGTAGAGGTTTTAAAATATATTTAAGGTTTGGAACATTGGGTCTTCATTTCGGTCATGCTGTATTTAAGCATTTGTAAATATGACCAGAATGATCCATAAGTTTGGTATTGGGTATATTCTAAGTATTTTAGAAACGTGTTGTATTGTGTTGTGCTGTATTGTGTGAAAACATCTCTTATTTACTGCCTGCAAACATGACTGTGCATAATTTTTAAAAACAATGCTTAGCCTTCTTAGCTTTTATGACATGCATAATCAAATTTTGTTTTTCCTTTAATTCCTTTTCAAAATAATTTCCTTAAATTGACACTTCCTATGACTTTAGGGATTGATCATAAAACATACATAAATCCTAAAAAAGTAGTCATGTTTTATTATAAATTTTGTGAATGCAATTTATTCATTCTATAACTTCTTTTACCTCAAGCAACCATGGTAAAAATATTTTGTACAATATATTATAAAATATTCAACAATATTATTGATCTGTCTGCATTGGCAGAATTACATAAGAAATGAACTGAGCTGGACGATGATTTCACTGTTTTCTCCAGATCTATCTGTTTAGATAAATGAACTAATAATTTTCTTGAACTGGTGTTTGGGAATGCAGACACAGGAAAGAAAGATGGAAGGTTAACAGGAAGTTTGTTAACAACAAATGGAGAGGATGATGGTAGTGCTGAATTACAAATTCATAAAATGTTAACATAAATCTATAGGTTCCAAATACAGTAGTATATAAACTGAGAAAGTTCTGTACATTGTGATTTACATTTTGAGGCATAAATGATGATATTCAAAGAAGATTAAGTCAAGAAATCCAGGTGTCTGAACTGAAGGTAAGGCTGGGCGATATGGTAAAAAGTAATCTCAATAATTTTTTCCCATATTAATCGATAACAATATATATTTAGATATATAAATTGTTAATGCTGCCAAGGTGCTCAAGGTGTCTTTATTAGTATATAGCCTACCCGAGGGTAAATTTTTTGTGCAGACAGAAGATTCAGCAATCCATACATAAAGAATAAAATAAAATAAAAAATGTAAAACATCAAAACAAACAATAAACAGAGCATTATAAAATATCCAAAGCATAAAAACTTCTAAAGATCATGGCAGTGTTTCTACACCCAGTGTTAATTTTTTTTTTTTTTTTTTTTTTTTTTGAGAAATGCTAATGGTCTTGTGCACTTCAATAATGTATGCTAAAAGTGGTACCGTCAGAACCGGAGATCGACTGAATGGATTCAAAAACAGTAAAACTCAACAGTTTTGTTTTTTATAAAATAAGTCTATTTCCAAAGAAAAGTGGAGTATCCCTTTAAGTGTAAAATACTGAACATGTCCTTTAAAGATGGAGTCCCTTTCTATTGCCAACACAATATTTGAGAAGCTTCTTCGTTCTACTTGGGAGGTTGAGGGTTATGAGCTGTTACCGCGTTTGCGAAATTTGTAAACTTCAGGTTTGTTTTACCATACTTGATTGATCCTAATGCATACACACTCATAAATCATAAAAGACAGTAGTCACTCGTTTGGTGGGCAAATTTCCCTGTCTGTTTGGAGATGTGCCGTCACACATACTCCATGATGTGGACGTTGGTCAACATACATCCAATACGGCAAGATTTTTATCAGGTCCCTTTTAAGAAACGAAAAGTATTCGCATCTGAGGTCCAGTATATGCTTGACAATGGCTTAGCACAGAATTGATTTTCTAGCTGGGCATTGCCTTGCTTGTTAGTAAAGACATCAGATGGTACACACAGGTTCTGATTCTGATTACAAAAAGTTAAATAAAATAACTAGTCCTGATCCGTTTCCTCTTGCCCAGATGGAGTACTGGGTTGACCAAGTTGGTGCGAATTAATGAGTAAACTGAATCTCGCCATTAACAACACGTGCCCAAGAGTTAACTGTTTTTTTTATGACATCAGGGTTATACTCATAAACGCCCTGGCATCTTTTCAGAGATGAATGAATCGGGTGGTTTTGGGTTTGGAGGGATGTGCTGTTCTTTCAGTGTTTTTAGACATTGTTTGAGTGGATGGTTGAAGAGTGCCTCACAAGTCAACCTGTAAAAATGTGAATTTGGCAAAGCTACAGTGACTTGGGTAAGGAGGTGGAATAGGTTGTATGTCCAGTAAGTATGTCCTCTCTGAACTAAAGTTTCAGCTATTGAAGGTTTTTCTTCTCCATCGACCAAAAAGGATCTTATGCGGGGTTTTTTGTGGGTTTGAGTTGGTTACTATAGAAGCTTTTGTTTCCACTGTTGTTTCTCCATTTACTGATATGTTGAAAGGCTCTATTAAGTTTGAGACATCTGTCAGAGGGCTTTTGATAACATAAAATTGTTACTGGCGACAGCTCCAGTCTTCATGGCACCCACGTTTGATCAGCCTTTTAAATATCATGTTTTGTTACAACCAGATAAAGATAGAATGGACCATCCAGTATGTTACTTGTCTCGAAAATGTAACAGTACATCAAATAAATTATTCCGTTATCAAGAAAGAAGCTTTGGGTATGTTTTGGGCGCTCAAGCATTTTGATGTTTATGTTGGAGGAGGCGTAGAGGTGTTGGTAGGCCTACACAATCCTCTAACTTTTAGTCCTAGTCAACATTAGATGCAGTTGGTTTTATTTGTACAACCTTATAACTTGAATATTCAACAAATCAGAGAGGTTGATAACATTATGCCTGATGCATTATCTTGTACTTTTAATGTGGTCGAGTAATGGTTGATTTCTATGCCTATATGCTGTCTACCATTTTTCTCTATCTCCTTAAATTGCTTTCAGGATCCGGATTGCTGGGGATGGAGATGATGGGTAGGTGTGGTGAAGGGGTTAGTGGGGTGAGTTAGTTTTCTCAATCATAGGTCCAGTTCTTTACTTTGTTGTACTTTACAATACTTGTACTTCATATGATTCATGTCTCTGTATGCAGTCTGCTAAAGCTTTTTTTTTTAATTTACTGGGAAATAACTACACTGAACATAGGCTGATAAGGAGAAGTATTACAACTTGTTTTTCAGAAACTGCACATCCTTAAAAACTGTCTATTTGTAGAAGCACAACGCATTCTCACCCCAAGGCGTCACCTTTGACCATGCTTCAATATTTGACGTTTTAGGCGCCCTTTAGCGTCACTTACATGACGCGATCCTACGGCGTCATCTAACTGACGCTAAAGGAAAGCGTCAGTTAGAGGACGCAGTTAGGTTTAGGTATGGGGTGGGGGTAGGGTACACGCGATCCTAGGGCGTCATCTAACTGACGCTAAAGGGCGCCTAAAGCGTCAGATATTGAAGCATGTCCAAATGCTTCCCAAGGCGTCAGTTAGGTGACGCCTTGGGGGTGAGAATGGGCTGAGAAGCAAGACTTGACAGCTAAGAGCAGGACAGACATTTTAACCACTTTCAGTACAATATGGTGTGTGCGTATCTAAGAAGACCACGTACTAGGCGTATGGAAACTTATGAGTAACGATATTTAATTTGAAATATCAATTGAATTGAATGTTGCGAAATTGCAATGTATTTCAACATCGTTTGGAACAAAATTCTTATTCATATTAATTAATTTACATGTTCTATTTCCTACACTAGTTTTAACATATCATTTAAGAACATATTTTAACAGTTTATATGTTGCAATATTAAAATGAAAATGTAATACAGAAATGATTCAATATGTTTAACATGTTCAAGCTTTCATCATATGTCCTGCAATGAATGAAGCAAAATTCAATGTGGAATTGAAAATGCCCCGTCAATCATTGCACCGATCCTGACCATGGGGTCACCCAATCTGTCTTCAAAGTTTCACTTTTGTTCCTAACCATCAAGTCTAGCTTCTCCAAAAGATAGTTTCAGTATGTGCAGCGGTTTCAAAAAAAAAAAAGTGTTGTACCTTTTTTTTAAGCTGTTCTGTTGACAAAGGAACTTTCCAGCATTCCTTGCTCGGTGTAAGGGAGAAATAATTTGTTTTGATGAAAAAAAGAATGTGTGAGTTCTGTACCTGCATCAGCAAAGTTCACATTCACTATTTATGCGAACAATTATTGGAACATCGACATATTGCTTAAACATATGTTCATGTTAGGATAAGAAAAAAGCAGGGTAAATTTAAACGTATAATCAAAGTCCATCCTTTTTACATTTTTGTTCCACAGAAACGTACCTATATTATGCTCAAGGCATGCAGCAAGTAGCTGTAAACAAGCAAAAAAAAAAAAAAAAAACGCATTTGCATGGGAAATCTTTTTTAATCGACAATAAAACCTGACCCACAGCTACAACTGTACACTACATTAAGTTGTTACATGTATTAAAGCCTTAACACCAGTTCACCTGTTAATAAAGCATTATGATTAAAACTTATACTGTTATTTAACCCGTTGTCAGCAACTGACAGTTGCAGAAAAGGTAGTTTTCCTAAATGTAAAAGACAAACGAAAAAGAGAGAGAGGAATTTGATCGGACCTCGGACTCAAACTTCTGTAACTAAAATCAAAGCTACAGTACTGCCTCGAAAGCAGTTCACTTTGCTACAGAACCGCCTTACCTCAACTGAAAACTGCTGCATTTCACATGCATCAACATACACAAAAGATAATAAAATTGTACCATTTTATGCATACTGTATATGATTAAAGGGGACATATCACGCTAAATCCAATTTTTTAGCCCTTAAATGCATTTTGTTGTGTATTTAGAGTGTTTATGAGTACAGACAAGATGAAATTTTTCTCTTCAGGTGCTTCGTTTACAATCTGTTTTGGTCATATTTTGCAACCTGTTCAGATTTTTCTGTTCTCTATGACGTATTTTGAACAATTATGTCACAGTATTTGCAGCGGAACTGACAAA